CCGCCCCGTTCCCGGTTCTCCCCTCTCTCACCAGCACGGCCCGGTCCTGCTCCGTGACGCGGCTCCGCCGTTTCCGCCCGAACAGGTTCCCCATGGCCGCTCCAGCCCCGGCCCGGCCCGGCCCGCCCCCGACGGCGGCCGCGAGGGGCCCGGCCCCGCACAACGCGCAGCGGCGGCGCAGCGGCGGCGCTGGGGGGGCGCTGTGGGAACGGGCGGGAACAGGGACACCGGGAATGGGATACGAGATATGGGATATGGGATACAGGGAACGGGGATACCGGGAATGGGATATGGGATACAGGGAATGGGGATATGAGATAGGGGATACAGGGAACGGGGATACCGGGAATGGGATGTGGGATACAGGGAATGGGGATATGGGATAGAGGATACAGGGAACGGGGATATGGGATATGGGATATAGGGAACGGGGATACCGGGAATGGGATATGGGATATGGGATACAGGGAACGGGGATACCGGGAATGGGATATGGGGAATGGGGATAGGGGGAATGGGGATAGGGGGCATGGGGAATGGGGGGGGGCTATAGGGGATGAGGTTATAGGGAATGAATGATATAGGGCATGGAAACAAAGGGAATGGGGGCTATAGGAGATGAGGGGATCTATAGGGGATGTGGAACACACAGAATGGCAGGTATAGGGAATGGAGTGCTGGAGGGGCCAGGGGCTACAGGGGCAACACTGAATTCTTTCATAGAATCATGGAATTGTTCAGGTTGGAAAAGCCCTCTGAGACCATCACATCCAACTGATCCCCCAGCACTGCCAAGGCCACCACTAACCCATGTCCACACTGCACTTAAATCCCTCCAGGAATGGTCACTCCACCATGGGCAGCTGTGCCAGGGCTTTCAGGGAAGGAATTTTCCCTCATATCCAATCCATCCAACCCAGCTCATTCCTCGGGGCTGCAGCCAGAGCTCCAGAGCTGGATTTGGGCTCTGCGGAGCTGCACGGGGGGATCACCCTGTTCCTGCTGCTCCTGGGCTGGGACAAGTGTCTGTCTCCCAACACCTCCCCCTGTAACTGGCCTCTTCCATGGGGAAAAACTCCTGGAGCCCAGCACCCCAAATCCAAGTCAGTCACAGCTGCCCCTGGCCCCCCTCCTGCCCCAGGAAAGGGTCCTCACACCAAAAAGTGTTTCTGCATTTATTTTTTATTAACCATTTATTTGTCTGTAATTGTTTTACTCTCACATTACAATTGTGTGGGGGTTTTTATATATTTTTTTTAAATTTTATTTTTGTAAAATAAATAGAGATAAGTGAACTTTTAAGGTAGGACACTCTCCAGATCCTTGGTTAAACTCCATGATTGAATCTCTGCATCAGACCTGTGGAAGCACAGCCCACACAAGCTCAGGAGAAAGCTCAACAGCCCCGAGTTCCCTAAAATCCCACGTCCTGGATGTGGGGCTGCACCAGAGCCCGGCAGGAGCAGCAGCTCCCACCATGCACCTTCCCCTTTCACCAGGTGTTTCCTGGTCCTTCAACAAATACACTGATATAAGTTAAAAATCTATTGTTTTTTTAAGCTGTGAATGTTAATGGGTTACGTGTGATCCCAAACTCTGGCTCCCCCACGGAGGGGACCCCACCGGGCAGAGGCACAGCTCTGTTATTAGACCATAATTAACTTTGGGTAACTTAAAAGTGGATTTTTAGGTAGTTTTTTAAGTTTAAAGCCTTTGATTCATCATCCTGTGACGTGGCCCTTGGCCTCCCTGACACGGGGGACGGCGCTCGGTGTTTGAGGACCCTCTCCCAAGCCCGAGTCCTGATGTGTGTGTGGCACCTTGGGATGGGCACCAGGCCACCTCCCCGGCCCTGGCCCAGGAGCCTCAGCACACACAGGAACAGAGAATTGGGGCAGCAGCAGCAGTGACAGGTCAGACACACCACGGGGGGTGTGGCAGAGGTGAAGTCACCGTCAGCACAGGGACAAGAGGTTTCTCACCCCTTCCCTCACCAGTGTTTCCCTCACCATGGCTGGCTGTTTGCTGGGAGCCTGCGGATCCCATGAGACTGGCTGGAAGAAAAACTGGGAATTTCTGGACCCCGCAGGTTGCCACGGTCAGTTTTGCACAGAGCAAGTTCTGCTCTCGGCCAGGTACATCCCACCTCTGGAAGGAATCCTGTCCTTTGGCTTTGCCTCCCCCTTCCCACACCCATTTCCAGACCCTGCACGGACCCCAAGGGACAAAAACATTCATTATTGAGAGGTGGGAGGTGCGGAAGACGGAGCAGGCTCTCCCTGGGTAGCTGTGACAAAGGTGCTTTGCTCAGAGCAGGTGACCTGCTGCCTTCCCCCTCCTCAGTGATTCTCTCGTGCTCAGCCCAGGTGGTTCCATGCCCAGTTCCAGGGACAGAACAGCCACAGCCGTGGCCACACAGTGTGTGCAGCTGCAAGTGTCCAGACCCTCACCAGCACCTCGGTGACCATGGACTGGCCCCGGGGCCCCCTCGCTGCCCGGGCAGAGCTCCCAGGGCACCAGACGTGTCCGTGGAGTTCCCTGTGGGCAGAAGGACAGTGGCAGCAGGAGGGACAGTGCCAAGGTGTCCCAGAGTCCCCACCAGCACTGTGGGCTTGGCTGGAATGTGGTGACACAAGTGACTCGCTCCAGGCTCGGTGGGACGTTGGAGATCTTCGTTCTCTTCCTTCCCTCTTCTTCCTCATGTGCAGCCTCACAGTGTGGGGCGTCCTGCCCTGCTCTTCTCATCTCCTTGAGCCCCTTCCCCCAGGATTCCTGCCTCCCTGGGCCACCAGGTCGCCTTCTGTCCTTGCTTCCAGTGGAGAGGACGCTGCAGGGAGGGAGGAGGAGGTTCATGCAGAGGAGACACTTCCCTGCCTCCCTTGCCCCGCTCAGCAGTGCAGGAGCAGGTACATCCCATGCAGACAGACAGCTCGGGTCTCGCTGCCCTGTCCCAGGAATTCTGTTTGGCACAGGGTTGGCAGCAGCGGGAGGGTCCCGTGGAGCTGTAGGTGAGTCCTGACTTAGTCCTTGAAGCAACCTACGCTCCAGCAAAACAAGGAACAAAGACTAAAACAAGACCCTTCTCAAGGGTGTTGCCTCATCCAAGTCCTTCCAAGCTCAGGAGCCGTGTTTCTGACAGAGAAGCCAACCACTGGAAACAAAAATAAATGTTCCTTTTCTGTAGCTTTTAGAGGATATAGCTGGAAAACGAAACGAAACGAAAACAAAAAAAAAAAGGAGATTGTCTCTTCCCCTTGTCAAACCCATCAGTAGCTAAGTCAGAAAAACAAATGTTCAAGTTATGGGGTGCAGCAGCAGCCAACACGAAACATTCAAGTCGATGATTTCACTATGTACAGGAGGCCCTGCCCCGGACCCGCTCGCTCGCCGTTATCTGATCCTCTTCTCCACCGAGTACACTGAGATGTAGTAGTCATTGCTCCCGACGGCCAGGTGGGGCTGTGGGCAGAGCACACACACAGTCACGGCCTCAGGCAGGTTGGAAAAGCCCTCCCAGCCCATGGATCCACCCCGTGCCCCATCCCCACCTTGTCCCCCAGCCCAGAGCACTGAGTGCCACGGCCAGGCCTTCCTGGGACACCTCCAGGGATGGGGACTCCAAACCTCCCTGGGCAGCCCCTGCCAGGGCCTGACCACCCTTTCCAGCAAGAAATTCTTCCTGATGTCCAACCTGAACATCCCCTTGAGGCCGGTCCCTCTCATCCTGTCCCTTGTTCCCTGGGAGCAGAGCCCAAACCCCCCCCGGCTCCCCCCTCCTGTCAGGGGGTTGCAGAGCCAGAAGGTCCCCCCTGAGCCTCCTTTTCTCCAGGCTGAGCCCCCCCAGCTCCCTCAGCTGCTCCTGTGAGTGCCTCCCCAAAGGTGCAGGTGTGGAGCAGTGACAGGTAAGGGTGACATTCCAGCAGGGACACGAGGCTGCTCCAGCTCTGAGTCTGCTCTGACGCATTCCTGCAGCACCCACACTCCCAGCCCATTTCAGGCCCATTTCAGCCACAGGGAAAAATTATGGGGACTATTAGCTGCCAACTGCCAACATAATTTCTCTAAATGGCTGCAAATCTGCTCGTTAGGAGCTGCCTGGGCTGAAAGGGAGCATTTCCTGCAGTGAGGGACGGGACAGGCCTGGCTGGAGCCCCGGGCTGGGCAGGGCTTTGCTTTGCTTATTTGGCAAACCCATTTTAGGTGATTTTCCCCACTTCTTCCTCCATCCCCAACTGCAGGGCAGCAAAATCGCTCCTGGCTTCCTGCAAAGAGGCTTTTCAGAACTGAGATGAGCCTTCCTTAAACCCTCTACCCTCAGGATGGCAAACACACATCCCTGAGGCAGGAAAACCACCTTCCCCCTCCTGCTCAAACCCTCACAGGGTCACACAGCTCCTCCCTCCCCTCCTCCAGGCCCTTGATCCTTCCCACCGCTCTTCTATTACATATTAAATATTTGTGTGCTGATCTGCAGGTTTCTAAAATAACTGTTTGAACTCCTTCCTGTTTTCCCATCCGTTCACGTTGTTCTCTCAGGTTTTCCATCCCTGGGTGAGCAAAGTCCACCCTGCAGATGGGACCTGCCTCCTACTTGAGCAGCAACCAGATTCCCTGAGTGCTGTGACATATTCCAAATTTCCTTTTGTTCTGATTCATTCCAGCCTTTATCAGCTCATGCCTTCAATTCCTGCAGCTCTCCCATTTTCCTGACGTGCAGTTTTTTCCCTGCACAGCATCAGCTCTACGTAAAACGGTGGGAGAGCAGCCCCAGAGAGCCGGGGTGAGACTCGTCTGCAGAGCCCAGGCAGGGAATAGAGAAGCACACAGAATTTGGAAGTGTGAGCCCTCCCAATGGACACTAAGACATGCCAACCCCAAGGCCAGGCAGGGCACACAGACCCAGTGAGGGTGGAAGGCCAGGCAGCTGATGGCTCCGACTCTCTGGCCCATGAACCCGTCGTAGTATTTGATGTTGTTGATCAGCTCCCCGTTCCCGTTGTAGATAGCAGTGAACTGATTCATGGAGCCACTGGAAGGGAATGGAGAGAACACGGAGTCACTGGGAATGCTGGCTGGGGACAACACTGCTGCCTGGCAGAGCTGTGTGTCACACCAGCGTGCAGACAGTTCTGGAACACACGAGGCCCCAGGAATGATGTCTGTGGGGGTAAATTGTCCTCTCCAGGGTCCCAGGACTTACCAGGCGAAGAGGTTGGCCTGAGGGTGGATGTCGAGGGCCGTGAGCCCCTTGACGATCTGCAGGACCTTCATGGACTCGGGCATCCGGGGGTCGAAGAACCGCACGTCCCCGTTGACGCTGCCAACACAGGAGTTCCTCAGGGTCAGGCTGTGCCCCAGGCACATCCCACAGCCCAGGACATGGAGCTGCAGGGCTGTCTGTGAGCTGCCTCAGTGGGAAATCAGGGCAGAGCAGAACTGTGCCCTTGCCTTCCCCCTCAGCGCGGCCGAGCTCCCACCAGTGTCACTCACGTCTGGCTCAGTGCTGAGCAAACAGCCCTGCTCTGCCCTCAGGAGTGATCCCTCACTGCCTCCATCGCTCACAGCTCATCACCCAGCGTGTCTGTCACACCCAATAGACCCAGCTCCACGTCAGCCCCCAATTCCTGCTGCTTGGCACAGCGGGAAATTGCATTAGAGAGCTCTGAGCAGATGGGATGTGCCATCCATTACTCCAGGTGTCTGCACAGGGCCACACCAGCCCTCGCTGCCAAAGGTGACCAGGTCTAACAGATCCTGGGGATGCTCAGGCCAGGAGTCATCCCAGGGAATGGCTTTGTCAGAGAAGAGGGGGGGAAGCAGCAGCAGCAGTGACAAGGAATTGTGTTTGTAAATGAAGTGCCTTTCAAACACAAATGACTCCTGTTTGTTAAGAATCTCTGAAATCCACCCCAGAATCAGGTCTGTGAGATGCCAAGAGGGCACATCCCTCCTACAGCCCTGGAGCCAAGGACTGGAGACTTTGCTTCAGTGCATCTGTTCTGAGCTCCTTGTAATCATGGGATCATGCAATGGGGTGGGTTGGGAGGGAATTTAAAGCCCATTTCATTCCCACCTCCTGCCATGGTCAGGGACACCTTCCACTATCCCAGGTTGCTCCAAACCCTGTCCAACCTGGCCTTGGACACTTCCAGGGATGGGGCCAAGACACTGCTCAGCTGGGGCACAGAAAGACAAACAGAAAAGTCTCCTCTGGCATTTAAATCCCCAATGATCTGATCCTGCTCTGCCAGCAGCATCTGTGAGGCCTCTGGCACCACAACTTTAAAGAGTTATTTTTCCCAAATCGCTGATGGCCACACAAATGTGAATCACCCAGTGGAGCTGAGAACAATGGAAGCATTAATCAGAATATTGCCTTCAGTTTCCCCACCTCTGGAATAACTAATGCTGACCAAAAGGCTGTTCCACAGCATTACTCAGAGCATTGTAAGAAGCTGCAACTCCAGCTGTCACATAATTAAGTTTAAGAGAAATTAAACGTGATTTACATCCTAAAGATTAGATGGAAATAGTGTTTGAGAGATCAAATATAGAGTGACTTCATGTAAAGCTTTGGACCTTTACAGGCCTTCAAAATGGTTCTGAATGTATAGGGAGACTGTGGAAGAGCTTCAGCATGGAAGTGAAGCTCTGTGGGGAGGGATGACACAGGAAACACATCCCAGCTGGACAATAACAGGCAACAAGAAGCAACAACTGAACACAACATCACTGGGGAACCAGTGTTGGACAATGGGGAGCTGCAGGATCCAGCTGGAGTTACACTCCTGTGTCCCAAATCCCTTCCTGGGCCAGGGAAAAAGTTCTGCTGAGGCTCAGAGAACTGCTCCACCAGCAATAACAATTTGTGTTTCTCAGGGAATAGTTACACCAGGATCTCACTGTGCCCTAACATTTGTTTTTCTTGGATCTTGCTGTCAGCTGAAGCAGAGGGAATGGGGAGGAACTGAAGAAGAGAGTGAACTGGGAGGAACTGGGAGTGAGGTGGCTCATGTCCACAACCTGAGCTGCTCTGGGAGGAGACCAGACCTGTTGTTTGAAGCACAACATCTTCTCACACCCCTCCAGCCCTGAGAGCAGCCCAGGCTGAGAAGGGCCCTGAGGGGACAGCCAGCCCTCAGCCCCGGGGCACACAGACCTGACCCCCGGAGCAGCTTAGGGAAAGGAAGATTAAAAACTCTAATATGGGAGCTCGACAGATCTGGCAGCTGCATCACATAATCCCCTTTCTGAAAATCTTCATACATTTTTGCTGGCCCATCCCCCACCCCAGGAATGTTCCGAATCCCAGAAAACTACGCTTTGTTTCCATTTTGTAATCAAGAAAAAGAGGCTCTTTGTGTGCAAACAGTGGCTTTGTGACAATAAATTATATTCTGCTGTTCTTTAATGGCCAAATCAGTATATGCTGCTCTCGCTGCAGTATTTACCAGGCGGCAGAAATGGATTTATGTGCAGAAAATTGCCAGGCAGCACAGTAATCCTTCCCAGCAATATGCCTGACAGATGCAACATCAACCTTCCTCCTCGTGTTCTCTCCCAAATGACCCCACGGAGACGTTGGCAATAAAGACCCACCACCACAACATATTCTGTATCCAGCTTGGGCTCCTGCCTCGCTCCCTTCCTCCCTCACACGCCTCGTGACAGCGATTCCAGCATCTTGTTTACTCCCCAGCCACACCAACAGCCTTCCAAGGAAAGCTCCACAGCCCTCTTTGCCTTCTCTCCACTGAGTTTGGAGCAGGAGTTAATTACTGATGCAAACGTCAAAACTAAAGAGCTTCACCCTCCCAGCTCTTGGGACACCAGGGGCAGAATTTTAAAGGGGAAAACAAACTGTGTGCGAGGGAAAACAGCTCCAAGAGTAGAATCTGGTGTACCTGACGCTCATGATGTTGCCCTCGGGGTGTTTCTGCAGGTAAGCCTTCACCACCCAGGCCGTGTGCTCCCGGTAGGTCATGACCCGGCTGGGGAACAAGGAGAGACACGTTTGCAGGGCAAAGAGGAGGAGGAGGAGGAAGCAGGAGGAGCCCAGGGAGCCTGGGAAGGAGAGGGAATTACCATTCACTGAGGGCCATCCTCCTGTCGAAGACGCGGATGGAGCCGTCCCCCAGCCCCGCCACGATGAGCGAGCGGTGGGAGTTGCAGGACAGGCTGGTGACACAGCTGTCAGCTCCTGTGGGGATGTCCTGGGGGGAGAGCACAGCACAGCCACGCTGAGACACGGCCTGCCCTCCTCTCACTGCCCTCCTCTCACTGCCCTCAGGGTCCTACACCAAGGGCCTGCCCCAACCCTGCCAGTGTCCGGGGCCAGGTTGGAGAAACCAGGGCTAGTGGAAGGTGTCCCTGCCCATGGCAGGGGGTTGGATGAGGTGACCTTTAAAAGTCCTTTCCAACCCAAACCATTCCATGATTCCCAGCCTGCTTTTGCAGTGCTGCTCAGCTGTTTTTACTAGTTTTAACTGAAAATGTTTTTCCTCCCAACAGGCACAGGGATTATTCCGAGCAATCCTTTTGCCTGTAGCAAGTAAAAGAGAGCAAGTGGGTGGAAGGGACCTTAAAGCCCATCTCATTCCAACCCCCTGCCATGGGCAGGGACACTTTCCACCAGCCCAGGTTGCTCCAAGCCCCGTCCAACCTGGCCTTGGACACTTCCAGGGATGGGGCAGCCACAGCTTCCCTGGGCAGCCTGTGCAGGATCCATTGGAGCTGCAGGAGCTCATTTCACACTTCAATCCTATTTTTGCCTCTGTGCAGATTCACCTTTGGAGCTGCTGTTCCAGCCTGGGCTGAGCTGTGAGAGGCACCAGGCCCGGGGCTGCTCCAGCCCCAGCCCACCCCCAGCTCCTCCTTTGAAGCAGCAACACTCAGCAGAAGTGCAAATGAAGCACTTGTTCCTGCAGCTCCAGCCCAAGTGCTTCCAGAGGTGTGGGGTTTTGTACTTCAAAGAGGGAAGGCACCTTTATCCTCCTGGATTATTCCTGCTCTTTGTGCTGATTCTCACTTTCCCAGTTACTGAGTCAGGAAGTTCCAATCACTTGAATTTCAACAAAACCCAATCTTCCCAATTAAAAAAAGAAACAACATGTTTTTAGACACTTTCGGTGCAATCATTAATCATCATAATTTAAAAGATTTTCGCCTCCTGAATTTTGCCTCCCCCTAATTTACATAGAAAAAAAATAATATGCGAAAGTAATTAAGATTAACAGAGGCTTAATTATCCTGCATCGCGGGGTCAAAGTGTCGCAATTAATGTTCATCCAAGGGTAATTAATTTCGAGAAGCTTTGAAAACTCCACTTCCTTTTCATTCCAGCATGGTGCCTCCGTTCTCACCGACCAGCTGCTCCTCCTTGGAATTTCTGAGAAACTTCCCTGTGATTACGAATGACACGAACTCTTGCAGTGCCTTTTATCTGTTACATGGCACAGAAAGTTCTGTGTGACTGAAACTGCCCTTGTTTGAGGTGTGAACACCCCGGGGCCTGGCTCAGGTGTGGACTGAGCGGGTATGGAAGTGCTCTCCACATGGATTCAGCTTTCCTGGACACACACACCTTTGGCTGGGAGGCACTGGAGCAGTGCTGCTCCATCACCAGCTCCGTGTGTGCCCCAGAGGAGCAGAGATGGCAGCAGAACGTCCAAATGCTCCACCACCAACCCAGCTCACCCCTGAATTTCCTCACAAATCACAGAATTGTGGAATGGTTTGGGTTTAAAGGGACCTTGAACCTCATCCCATTCCACTGCCCATCCCAGGTTGCTCCAAACCCCGTCCAACCTACTCTTGGACACTTGCAGGGATGGGGCAGCCACAGCTGCTCTGGGCAACCTGTGCCAGGGCCTTTAAAGATTTACACTATTTCAATTACATGCTAATTAGGAAACCCAACCTGCATCCTGCTGCCTGCCTCTGGCTTCCATATCCTCACCCTCCCCAAACACTGCTGCCTATCCAGAATAACAGCAGCAAGAAAGCCCTGACACTCTCCCTGAGCACGTGTGTGTGGTTTTACTGATCTTGGACCATGACCCCAGGGCAGGGAAGCAGAGCAGCAGGAGCTCCAGGAGCTCCAGGACCTGGCAGCTCCTCACAGATGAGTCTCAGCTGCTCTGGGATAACTCACCCACGGGATGTGCTCCAGGAGGGAAAAGGTGCCTGGGACAAACCCCCAGGTGTTACCTGTACTTTCATCTCCCGATCCGTGTCCCAGATCCGGATTATCCTCACGTCTCCCGAGGTCATCAGGAGCCCAGTTTCTTGTTCCCAGTCGACCACCATCCCTGCCCCTAGGACAGAGCACAGGCAGGGGTGCAGATCAGCACCAGCATGGGCAGAGCTGCACTCAGAGCATCAGCTCCCCTGACCTCATGTGTCAGACACTGTCACTGTCAGAGGAAATGTGAAATCCCACACACACATCCACACATTCCCCACATGGGATCCAATCAGCTGCTCCTGGATTGGAGTCCAAAATGCCTCTGTCCCCTTGTCTGAGTGCTCAGGGGGGCCGAGTGCAGCCTGTCCTGGCAGGAGGGGAGCACAGCTCCCAGGACACTGCTGGGGACTGCCAAGGGGCCAATAAATTATCCAGCACCTCAGGAGAACTCGGGATTAAACAATGACTGAAGCAGACTCAACTGGTGACACCTCACAGAGCAAGACCTGAGAGCCCCTGGATCACCACAGTTCCTCATTCCAACGTAAAGATGTGGGAATTGTTTCTCAACAAGGAACAGCAAAGTCAGTCAGCTGCAATATATTGAATTTAACAGCTGGTGGGAGCACAAACCAGTTTGTTGCACAGACTGGTAAGGACGGGAACACCCTGCAATGACAACACCTAAAATCCTTTACAAGAGCTTTTGCTCCTCAACTCTGAGGGCACAGACCAATCTCCAGGTGAAGTTCAGAACAACATCCCATCCATTCTGTAAGAGCATGACAAGGGATTTTGTATCCTCAAAGCACCTGACACCCGCTTACAGACAGACTGTGTGTGCTCATGAACCTTGCTGGGACAGGATTCCCAGAGCAGGGTGAGTGCAGGTCACCTCCTTTCTGGGAAACACTGGCAATGAACCCCCTGATTCTGGTGGGGAGAAACCTCCAAGGAACAATTCTTGGACATTTTACTGGGAGGCACTTTGTGCCTGTGTGCTGCCTCCCCAGCTCAGGAATGTCCTGCTCAAAGCAGAGCCACACACCCATCATTGTTTGCTTTTAATGCTGCAAAGGGCTGAGCAACCCCAAATCTATGGGATTTCCAGGGAGGCTCCCATTCATCCCTTAGAAACAGAAACAAGAAATCCCAGGAGCACCACAGGAGGGAAGCAGAGAAGAGCTCCAGGTTTGGTGCCTGTTTGCAGCCCCTGGGGCAGGGCAGAGGCTCCCCCAGCAGCATCCCTGCCCTGCAGAGCAGCATTCCTGCCTCTCAGAGCACTTGTCCACCCTCTCCTCCATGCCAAACCCAGCCTCTGGTGCCGAGCAGTGTTTCATAACCACACAGAGCCCAGAGTCAGAACCCTCTGCAATGCATCAGGATTGCAGCTCCTGCCCTGAGCCACTCGCCTTCAGCACCATTCCCGTGTCTCCACTCCACAGCTTGCTTGTCCAGAAGGTACAAATGTGAATTTTTCTGTGTTTACTGCCAGGAATCAGCCCCAGCAAGAAATTGAAGCCTACCCCAACATGCTCTTTGTCACCAACGGGCCACAAGTACCTTGTACCAGAACAACCACCTTTACAGGGCACAAAGGAAATGACAGAAACATCCTACAAACACTGAGTTTTCCCCAAAGATGACAGAATGACCCTGTTTTGCCCAGATCCAGATAAAACATTTTCCCATCTCCCCTTCCTGAGCATCACAGCTGGCCAATTCCTGATCTTGCTGCATGCACGGAGGAGATTGCTGACATTTATTGACAGCCCGTCACCTCACCGCAGGAAATTCGGGACTCTGGGCTGAGCTGGGAGCCTGGATCTTTATCTTTAGTCAAATGGGTCGTTCCTTCAGATTGCCTGGCAGCTCAGAGGGCTGGAGAGCTGAGGCAAACAAGCAGGCAGTGATTGAGATGATAAACATCACTGAAGTGTTTGCATTTGTCATCTCGTTTATGGCCCATGTGACAAGATAAACCTGGCAGCTGAGATGGATCTGGCCATTACCATCCCTGATGGAGTTCAGCAGGCAAAGTGCTCCGAGGCAGCTTTAAACTCCCAATTTCCCAGTTATGTTCCCCGTTTGAAGCCAAGGTGGTTTTGTCTGATCAGCACCAAGTCTGGGTGTGGCTCCAGGGGCTGTTCCATGCAGGGGGACGCTCCCACTGCACCCCAGCCACGCCCTGACCGAGGAGGGGAGCCCAGGATGTGACTGGGAATGCTGAACCAGAACTCCAAGCTGTCTGAAGAGCAGAAAAGCCTTTGTACGTACATTTAAGTCATTTGGAAGTGGGTAAGGGGGAAGGAAATGTTCCATCCAAAGCACACACTGACAGCGTGGAACGAGACAGAAATAGCTGAACTATTTCCATGTACGAGGAAACGTTCTCCTGGTAGAGATGATCCAGGATTGGCTCATGTTTCCATGCTAAATTCATAGTATTTTGGGACGAGAAGCAAACGTGGGACTCGGTACTAACGATCATTTCCTTTTTAATTAACAGAGGTCCTTCTCCAGGATGTTACAACCGAGCCCGCAGCTCACCCGCCGCGTCCTGGCTCAGGGCTCTGGCACCTGAGCTGCTCCTCAGCCTCCTCCTGGCAGGAAGGTGATGCTCTGAGCACCTGTGCAACCCCACAGCCGGGCTCTGCCTCACCTCCCACCTCCTCACAGGATCGGGGTAACAGGGACAAGGCTGTGACACGGCCTGGCACAGGCCAGGGGTGGGACCCTGGTGCTCCCAGAACGCAGGAACTGCCCCAAGTTGTGTCCCAGCCCTGCACTGCTGCAGTGCATCAGGAGTGAGGATCACAGTTTTTCCCCTAAGGAGTATTATGTTCTTAGATAATGAGCAACAAATATTCCACAGCTCAGGAAAAGCGATTTTTAAAGGTCCGTGGTGAGTTGTTGTTTTTAGGTTTGGGTTTTTTTTGTTTGTTTCTGAGTCTTTTAACACCAGCACTTGCAGCTCCGTGTGACGTGAGTTTACACACACCAACAGCCCTTCCTGGAAGTGTGACTTCCCATGGCTGTTCCCTCAGGATTCCCTCTGAGCAACTGGTCTGGATGGGACAGTTCCCTGTATAAATTTCCATAACTAACCCTGGTGAAAGCAGCTGCATTCCCAGCGTCTGCCTTCATCTGGAACGTCACTGGAACGTGGCCACCCTGTCCCTGGCATTTCCATGGGATCGGGAATATCCACGTGGAACACAATATAAAAGCATCTTGGATTCTGACTGATCATTTTTTAATCACGGGCCCTCCTGGTTGAGCAGTGAAACACATCCCTGCTTTAATTTCCAGGAAGCAGTGGGAGGGTTGGATGACCTCACTCATCATTAATTTCTACAACATCCTCTCAAAAAGTGTCGCTCTCCTCCTGCCAAGGACTGCACAGCGAGGGACAGCAGGAGCTGGGATGCTGGGAATCCAATTAAAAGAACACAAACCCCTGGAGCTGCAATTCCTCCAATGATCTTATTGCCATAAAATAATCTGACCAGGAACACGGTGCTTTTCCCAAACTTCTTACTCCTGAAGGGCAGGACACCAGCACCCCCTGACTCCTGCCAGCCCAGCTGCCTTCCCAGTGCTGAATGTCCCAGCTCAGACTTCACTCCGTGCTCACACGAATTCCAGGGATTCCTGGAATGACCTGCCCAGTGGCCTGACAGGACCTGGCCCAGTAAGCCACTGGTGTTTCTTTAATTTATCCCTGACCTGTGAGACAGCCCCCAGTGATGCCAGAATGAAGAGACCATTCCCAGCCTTCCTTCTGGTAAAAATTCCTCATGGAAGCCTCAGTGATAAGAACAGATTTTCTGTATTATAGTGACAAACCCAGGATATTTTACCATAAAATCATGGAATGGTTTAGGGTGGAAGGGACCTTAAAGCTCATCTTGTTCCACCCCCTGTCATGGGCAGGGACACCTTCCACTAGACCAAGTTGATCCAAGCCCCATCCAGGGACACTCCCAGGGATGGGACAATATCTAACTATTGCTGATGTATTTTGCTGTAAGGCAAAGAGCTGATTCAATACATATTTAAGAGTTTTTCAGCGGAATGGGAGGAATCCTTGTGCTGCATTTGTCCCCAGGAGGACTGAAGATGCTGGAGAAGGCTTGGATCAATCTCTGTGTGCCGGGACCGTGGTCGGGCGGTGGCAGCGGGATCGATCCAACTGGAATCCCCTCCAACTGCTGCCTGCCCACAATCCCCTCCAACTGCTGCCTGCCCTGGAATCCCCTCCAACTGCTGCCTGCCCCGGAATCCCCTCCAACTGCTGCCTGCCC